GGGTGAAAAAACCGGACTGTCCGGTAGAATACCGGACACCTGGCAATCCTACTGTTAAAAGGTATGTGTAATCAAGCCAATTCATGTGTGTGTGTTAGTTTAGTTTAAAGGAAATGTTAATAGTAGTGTTGTCACTTACTTATAACCGGTTAGCTATCCTGTTACAGTATGCATATCCCTGTAATTAGTTAACCCTTGATCAAAAGTGTATGATGAGAATGTATTAGATATGTAAACCTCATGACAAGGAATGGACTGCTGTTTGCTACTACATTACCTTTTGAATTTTGTGTATCTCTGTAATTAAAATACACATCAAATATGAGTGGAGCCTTAAAAATGTAAATGAAAAAGAATGCTAACTTCAGAGCAAAGACCACTACATTTAACAATGGAAATTCACTGGGTGAAGACACTGTCCAGATTGTCTGCTCAAGTGGTCTTCTATGAGCAGAAACTATAAATGCTGCTTAAAAGAAATAGCCCTTGTTTCTGAAATGCATGGATTCTAACAAGGTGGAATATCAGGATAAGATGACGTAAATCCTCAGTTATTCTGGATAACTATATCTCTGCTATCATTAAGGCCTTACAAACTTTGACTTAGCTGTTAAAATATTGTGCCCACTTTAACCTCTTAACGCTTTCCTTTTCTTGGCTTATAAACCTTTAGTTAGATTACTAGAGAACTGGCTGTCCACATTGTTTTTTACGTGAGTTCTAGAGTACCAAATTAATCTAGGGTAAGTGACTGATCCTTATGGAGTAACAAAGTAATGCGATTTTTGATGTACGTTATCTTCTATAACAAAGTCCAGTTTGTCTGGGTGGCAAGATAAGCTGGACAGCCTAAGGGAACTGTCTGTGACTCCATGGTAAGACTAATATAGTAATATAGATGTTCAAATTTATTACTGGGTTGGTGAATTCTAATTATAGAATATACCACCAATTTAGGGTGTCTGTTCTGTTTTCTGACAGTCTGCCCTGAAATTGGCACTCACAGTTGTGAGCCACTCTAGAGAGCATGACATGTTCATTCAGCATATTTCTGCTTCTTACTCAATATCATATTTGTATTTATTATGAGTGAAGCTGTGTTAAATAGGGACTCAGAATTTTTCTAACCTGTTTATACCATTCTGACCCTCAAGCTGAAAACCCCTTCAAGTTCAAGGAAAAGGCCTAGTCAAATTTTCAAATCTGAATCAGTCTATGTAGTTCTAGATTTGCTGTGATCCGAAACCAGAAGGGAAATATTTTGCAGTTCAGGGTTAAGGCTGTTGTGAAAATAGCCAATTTTAAAGTATTTCTGACCTGTGGGGCCAAAACCACATGAGAACATCAGCACATATTTCCATGCCCTTGAATTCAGACCAGGTAATTTCAACCTCAAACCTGAACGGTAGCGTGACAGTAATCCAAGCTCAGATATGAACACCATCTCCTTGAACCATCTCTAATTATGAGTAACCTTGATTTGATTTTTATCTCAGCAAACAGACAAGCTGGGTACAAACATTTTTCACATGATGTCTGGAGAATAGATAATACGTAACATACATCAAAAGAGTTCTTTTCCCCTTCACTACATTATATTAGTTTTTCAGCCATGCCCACAAGTAAAAACAATGTTAAAACATTTGACAAGAATGTTCACTATTTTTTCATCAAAAATGACTGCATGCTTTTGGTTTCAAAGACATTTTGTCAGTTTACCAATATAAGAGACCACTTTTCATATGTGCCAGCTAAGCAAAAACAACCAGACACTTATGAATACTTATCAGATTCAGTGAAAGTCAGTCATCACACTCCTGCCTGACTCTCAATAGTAGACAACTTCTGGGTGTCATGTGGGAATGAAAAGATGCTGTCATTACTCCAAGAGGAGAAAGATAGCCAAATGAAACTCTTTGTGAAAGCAGTCCAATGATAGAACATTCTGATTAGAATATAAGACACCAAGAAATTGTCTGCTGGCAACCCTATATTTTCCCATTACAGCAGTAAGACATACAATAAAAAGGAATTACTTTTCCAACTATGATTCCATTGAGAAGTATATGAAACCTCAAGTTGGCATGATAAAGTCCAAACATTAGAAAAAGTGTATTTACAATGTGTTTTTCCAATGAACAAATATAAAATCTCTTTAATTGTACATTTGCAGACTTTCTATCGCAAAGCTAAAGCTCATTGGCATCTCCCTACAGTGTAAAATCTTACAGTTAAACAATGCTTTAATAAAGAACATATCACAAAGTATTCTGCAGCAAGAACTTATATAATGTTCACAGTATTTGGTTTTTTTTATTTAGGAAGAAAGACTAGATATTAATAAAGAGCTGTTGATGAATATCTAGTACACTACAATATCTCAATGAATGGAAGCTGATAGCGTATAAAATACCAGTCGGCTGCCAGTACAAACACAAAGGCAATCCTTAGACAAAGGTAGGATCATTGCTCTTGTGTGAAGAAATGCAAGTTTCTCTTTTCTTTCATCGCATATGTTGTAACATCCACTAAACTATGCCATGGCAAATGTACAACTATATACAGTATATCTGCACAAACACACACCCCAACACTGAACTAGTGAGTAATATTCAGTACTATGCAGATCGCTAGCACTAACACTCTGTGCAGCACTTAAGGTTCATTATGCACTGAATTAACCAATCATCAAGCCCTAGACAAACATACACAGATATAGCTTAATTAACCCTTGCTTAACCAGGAAATGTATTAACTAGCTCCCACTGCACAGTCACAGTGCTATTAGCCCTCTTGTCCGCTCACCAGATAGGCTGGCAAGGAAACTAGTAGATTCCTATGTGCCTGAGATATAGCCAAACCTCATTGAACCTGACCCGCTGTTGAGAGAAATTTTGGGCTTCATGAACGGGCATTTTCTGAACAGCTCTAGTTAGAGAACCATGTCAAAACATTTTCAAAATACAATTCCAGCTAAAACTGTTTCTAATTTGATTGAGCCAGCCAGCATGAACACTGCTGAGTTAAAGATGTAGAACGCTTACAAGAGCTAGGAAGTCTCAGAGGGGTAGTGTCACGGATCCACCCGCCACCCCCCCCCCCCCCCACTTCGCGCGGA